AGGGTGGATGGGACGTAGTAGGGTGAATGGGACGTAGTAGCGTGGATGGGACGTAGTAGGGTGGATGGGACGTAGTAGGGTGGATGGGACGTAGTAGGGTGGATGGGACGTAGTAGGGTGGATGGGACGTAGTAGGGTGGATGGGACGTAGTAGGGTGAATGGGACGTAGTAGGGTGAATGGGACGTAGTAGGGTGGATGGGACGTAGTAGGGTGGATGGGACGTAGTAGGGTGGATGGGACGTAGTAGGGTGAATGGGACGTAGTAGGGTGGATGGGACGTAGTAGGGTGAATGGGACGTAGTAGGGTGAATGGGACGTAGTAGGGTGAATGGGACGTAGTAGGGTGGATGGGACGTAGTAGGGTGGATGGGACGTAGTAGGGTGGATGGGACGTAGTAGGGTGGATGGGACGTAGTAGGGTGGATGGGACGTAGTAGGGTGGATGGGACGTAGTAGGGTGAATGGGACGTAGTAGGGTGGATGGGACGTAGTAGGGTGGATGGGACGTAGTAGGGTGGATGGGACGTAGTAGGGTGGATGGGACGTAGTAGGGTGGATGGGACGTAGTAGGGTGGATGGGACGTAGTAGGGTGAATGGGACGTAGTAGGGTGGATGGGACGTAGTAGGGTGAATGGGACGTAGTAGGGTGGATGGGACCTAGTAGGGTGAATGGGACGTAGTAGGGTGAATGGGACGTAGTAGGGTGAATGGGACGTAGTAGGGTGGATGGGACGTAGTAGGGTGGATGGGACGTAGTAGGGTGGATGGGACGTAGTAGGGTGGATGGGACGTAGTAGGGTGGATGGGACGTAGTAGGGTGGATGGGACGTAGTAGGGTGAATGGGACGTAGTAGGGTGAATGGGACGTAGTAGGGTGAATGGGACGTAGTAGGGTGAATGGGACGTAGTAGGGTGAATGGGACGTAGTAGGGTGAATGGGACGTAGTAGGGTGAATGGGACGTAGTAGGGTGAATGGGACGTAGTAGGGTGGATGAGACGTAGTAGGGTGGATGGGACGTAGTAGGGTGGATGGGACGTAGTAGGGTGGATGGGACGTAGTAGGGTGGATGGGACGTAGTAGGGTGGATGGGACGTAGTAGGGTGGATGGGACGTAGTAGGGTGGATGGGACGTAGTAGGGTGGATGGGACGTAGTAGGGTGGATGGGACGTAGTAGGGTGAATGGGACGTAGTAGGGTGGATGGGACGTAGTAGGGTGGATGGGACGTAGTAGGGTGGATGGGACGTAGTAGGGTGGATGGGACGTAGTAGGGTGGATGGGACGTAGTAGGGTGGATGGGACGTAGTAGGGTGGATGGGACGTAGTAGGGTGGATGGGACGTAGTAGGGTGGATGGGACGTAGTAGGGTGGATGGGACGTAGTAGGGTGGATGGGACGTAGTAGGGTGGATGGGACGTAGTAGGGTGGATGGGACGTAGTAGGGTGGATGGGACGTAGTAGGGTGGATGGGACGTAGTAGGGTGGATGGGACGTAGTAGGGTGTATGGGACGTAGTAGGGTGGATGGGACGTAGTAGGGTGGATGGGACGTAGTAGGGTGGATGGGACGTAGTAGGGTGGATGGGACGTAGTAGGGTGGATGGGACGTAGTAGGGTGAATGGGACGTAGTAGGGTGGATGGGACGTAGTAGGGTGGATGGGACGTAGTAGGGTGAATGGGACGTAGTAGGGTGGATTGGACGTAGTAGGGTGAATGGGACGTAGTAGGGTGGATGGGACGTAGTAGGGTGGATGGGACGTAGTAGGGTGGATGGGACGTAGTAGGGTGGATGGGACGTAGTAGGGTGAATGGGACGTAGTAGGGTGGATGGGACGTAGTAGGGTGGATGGGACGTAGTAGGGTGAATGGGACGTAGTAGGGTGAATGGGACGTAGTAGGGTGAATGGGACGTAGTAGGGTGAATGGGGCGTAGTAGGGTGAATGGGACTTGGGCGGAATCTGAGTACATGTAGTTGGGTGGATACGATTAGACACAAGTTGGGAGGCTCAGGCTTGCCGAGCTGCTGGTATCTAATCGAATCCAGTCTACCGTTACTACTTACCACCATGTTGTACGGTTCGTTCCGCTTCAATCCACCAGCATCGAGGCTATACGGCAAAACACCAGCTGCATGCCTTGCCAAATCTCCAGAATACTACGATATTCAGTGCCACTAGGGCGAAAGAGCCCTGCTCAACCTCACGAATGCTCTCATCGTACCCGCGCCGTCGCTTCTCCTGCTCATGTCTGCCTGTGAAGGGATTGTTTGGAGTTTGTGGGGGCAAAAGGATTGAGGCTGCGTTTACACGACAACGAAGTACGACCTAAACGGAACGAAATCGTTGCGTTTACTACTTTCATTGTGTTACTTCCCGCCCTTGCGCCAAGCTAGCACGTGCTAACTCCAGCCTGATCGCCCATTTTCCGTTTTCGTGTATAAACCAGTTAAAAACGATTTGCCGTTCTCGTGTAAACGGTTTGAAAACGATTCGAGGCCAGCCCGTTTTCATTCCGTTTCGTTTCGTCTCCGGGTAAACGCAGCCTGAAAGCGCGAATGTCGAAGTAGGTGCGCTCAAACCTCCCCCCCCCCCCCCCCCCCTCCACAAACCACTTGCGGCCACATCCAGGCGGGAGGAATCTTCAGCGGCGGCTGACCGGAAGGCGAACCTTTCACCAGACAGGGACTCTTAGTCTAGGCAAGGTTCAACGACCACATCATGCCATTCATGGGCCACCTCATTCACTTCAGCTCCTTCAGCTACTATCAAGAGTAGATAATGGCACTCACGGGCCATGAGTTTGCTCCCGGTAGTTCACAAAGGGAGCTACTGGCACTACAGGCACGGCGTGGTGGTTTGGCTGTACCATGCCGGTCTTGGCGCCATTGCATTCGCAGAATATGAAGCCTCAACAAAAATAACTGAGCCACTTCTGCGTCTGGTGTTACCAGAGGATAGTTCAGTGTCCCCTGGCGTATATTCTAGTTCCACCCTCCCTCCATCATCCCAACCCATGGGGACTGTGGAGCTGGGTGGTGCATCGGGCTGTCTTCTGGTTCCGCCGCCGTCTCTGCCCGGTCCTGTAGAACCTGGAGGCATTTCACTAGTGGCTCTTCCTTCCGCTTTTAGTCTGACGAAATTGACCCGATTGTGTCCGTTCGGTCGAATGCACGGATGGAGTAGTACTGCCCCATTGTCTGGAGGGGAGCGGCCCCCATCCCATCTCGCAAGACTCGACTGTGTGCAAGCCAGGGCCATCCGAGCCATCGCCCCAATGTGTCACAGTGGCTGCCGAGTCTTGCATGCTCTTCGTCGGATGGTTGCAGCACTTTGCCTCCTGTACAAGATGCATTGTCCAGATACGCATCCCTGGCCTTCTACAGAGGTAAGGATGTTGTCACCCCAATAGCCCCATCACCGAACAGTCCACTCCACCCGTAGTACGTTGCAGAGGTGTGATGCCCACATGCACGGGCCGACCGGCAAATGAACTTCCATTCCGTTCCTGAAACAACCTGTGTCGAGCCTACCCTCACGCAGTGGTCCTCGTCTGGAACAAGCTGCCCGCCGGAGTCTTCTCTGGTCCATTCTGCACCAAAAACTTGCAGCAACCAACCGCTATTTGAAGACCAACGACTGGTTGTAACCGGGGCACATGGCCATCTCTGAGTATCAGCATCATAACGAGTCTCTGCCTCACCCCATGACTTTCAAATTCCACTCCACATATACTCCTCCTAATGAAAGTCTGTTCTTCCTTTCTCTCCTTCTCCTAACACTGAGTCTGTCTGCCTCATTTTCCCCCTCCTTCTAATGTACTGTCTCTCGATCTCCTCCTCCTAGTATAACCCCTCCTAACATTTCGTGCTGGGTATCATCAAGAGTACCGTGATAACCCCTGGGGTTATCATGGTTATGATCAGGGAGTAGTACAATAAAAAAATAACGTACAATAATGGTATTGTACTACTCCCTGGTTATGATGGTATCATGCATGCACGCACCTGTCACTCATATTTTTTTCTTCTTTTTTTGGTGCATTTTATGTCGCACCGGTCGAGCTAGCGCTCGCGCTACGCATCGTGCATTTTCAAAAAAGCCAAAATCAGCGCGCTAGCTATAGCTCCGCGCCGCTGCACATGCATGCAGCGCACTGAGCGCAGCCCTGATCATGCCGGTGTAATAGTAGAATGACCCCCAGCAGATGGACCCCCGGGCATTGTACTATAGAGTGACCCCGGGGTCACTCTACTATAGTACAATGCCCGGGGGTCGTTCTACTATAGTAGATTGCCCCCTGTCATTCTACTACAGAGTCCACCAGACTTGTCGTTTCGCACGTGCAGGTAGAAAGGGATGGAGTTTACACCACAGATTCCACGTGGACATTATGGATTGTGGCAAGAGTCCGGGGTTATGTACTCTTGATTGTGGGAATATGTGGTGAAAAGTCCACAACATTTGTCATATTCCCAACACACGTACATCCCGAGCACTTTGAGCGAGTTTGGTTGGTTGGTTGGTTGGTTTTTATTTTACTTCGCATGAACCAAACGGGCAGAGTTGCCCAATGACATGGGAGCGAAACTAATAAGAGTTTTGTTTCTGATCCTTGAAAGAGGAGAATGACAATCCCCAGGTTTGATTAAATTTTAACCAATGTGTGCATCTGTCAGAGAGAAAGAGTATGACCTCGGGGTCGATCTACACGTGTATACGTATACGGTGTAGTACTAGCAAGAGTTCAGGAGTTCACGGACCTCTACTAAAATAGCGGCCGAGGGGGGTCGTTGTACTATATTATAGTAGAGTGACCCCGGGGGCAATCTACTACTTATAGTACAATGACCGGGGGGGGGGGGGGGGGGGCCTTCCACTACGGGGGTCATTATGACACCGGCGTGATGTCATGATATGAGTGATGATGTCGTGATGAGCTCAAAATCAATTTTTGCAAAATGCGAAGTGTCCCTGTGTACTGTTCCTGTGTTCCAGTTCTTCCAGTATTCCTTCTTTGCTGAGCCTGAGCATGAGCTTATGGGCATGAGTTGGACTGTTTGTCCCTGAACTTGCTGAAGTGCCGTGTCAGTTCCATGACATCTTAGAGTAATCTGCCAAGACTAGGCAAGAGTTCGCTACTTTGCTTGATAGATGAGGAGAGATAGTAAACTGTGACCGGTACATGCTGATGTAGTCCAATAATCATTATACTTTTATACTCACTATTTGTCGTGTTTAGTTTTGATGGAAAGCACCGAGTAATGTTAGAGTAGTGGAATCCAGGCCCAGTGCAGTGATTTTATATTGTTTCGGTGCGCAAGGTGATTTCTTTGCCACAAGCTGGACTATTGTGGGATCGATGAGGTGGAGAAAGCGCGCTGCTGACTAGTGCGATGGGACTGTATTGAGACTGTAAGCAAGCTTTCGGGATTGCAAAGAATTTCTTTCTTGTACGTAGTAGTGCCAGTGGAGATGATAATGATGTCCTGGTCAGGTCTGGACTCTCAGTCAGTGTTCCTGAGCCAGTGGAAAATACAACGGTGCTTGCATGTAAAGCTAAAATATTAGCTACATTTGCACTGGAACGTTAAGTTTTTTGAAAAATGTTCTTCCTCCACGTACACAATGTAGTGACTTTCAGTGACATTATGGCCATACATTATACGCTTGATAAAGAAACATGACATTAATTCCTTGTGAATGTCAATGAAAACAAAGCCTGTGCTCTATGTAACGCGGAGGGGTTGAATGTTGACCAGTAGTGACACAGCCGGTTCGCATCAGCTAGGAATTGTGTCTGCATTCATGCGCGCGCACGTGTGTGTGTGTGTGTGTGTGTGTGTGTGTGTGTGTACGTGTACACGTGACCTGTGTGTATGTGTTTGTGCGTGCGCGCGCGCGCGTGTGTGTGTGTGTGTGTGTGTGTGTGTGTGTGTGTGCCAGCTAGTTCGGTTGTGGGTGCACTTATGCCAGATAATGGTTTGGGTCTGTTCACTCTGTTGCCATCAGGCTCAGCAGCTTGAAGGTGTATTAATTTTGTACCTGCCACATTTGTTGGTTTGAGGTTCCATATACTTCCTATTGGAAGTACACACACCTTCTCTGCCTAAGCATTGGGGATTTTGGGGGTGTTGGCCGTTGGGCGATTCAATAGCCAATTGCGTCATCTTTCCGAAATTTCTTTTGGCTCTTTCGCTCCTTTTCCCGGGGAGGCACGCAAAACCAGTTCCTGACTGTGAGCAAGTACAAGTGTGTGTGTGTGGTGTGTGTGTGGTGTGTGTGTGTGTGTGTGTGTGTGTGTGTGTGTGTGTTGTACACAGGGGTAGGGTGGTCTAACACGATCATATCGCCTGGTGCATACTCTAAAGCATGTGCAATCATTACATTGTTTACTGGTTTCCTGTTCATCTGCTTGTCCAGTATCATGCACCGAATGTAACTATGCTGCCAATTCGGACATTAGATGGACAGGCGCCAGAGGCGTCCGATGTGTTTCCTACCTCTGAAAATGATCAGAACTATGATCAAGCTGTACATCAAGACATCGCGGAGGTGAACGAAGAGCAATATGATGTCGAACAGCAGCTTCCGACTATTGATTACCGACAGCCCAGCGAAGACGAGCTAGAGCAGAGCTATGGGTCGTCGGGAGGAGAGGATAGCCGCACGCCGCTCGTTGATGCCCTGTACCCGATGCGTGCCGGGAAACAAGAGATGGCGGGCGTGCTCGTGACCGGCCACCATACCGATCACCAGCAGAGGCAACAGAATGCTGAAAGCAGCCGGGAGCCGATGGCAGTCAGTGTGGCGTCGGCATTTTCCGAGTCTTGCCCGTCTCTCGGCTCGGCATTCCTCGATGCTGAGAGTGAGGAGTCGACCAGTTCCAGTCATTTCCAAACGCGGGCAACCAGTTTGGACAGGACTAGTCGCAGCAGATCGGAAACCTCCTTATCTGGGTTTGACATGGTCGATTCATCTTGCATTGAAGACACCACACATGTTATCAAGAACCCAAGGGGTCGTGCTTTCACAAGGACAAGAAGTAAATCAGCACGCTTTGCAATGCAAGCCGCAGCTGACTTGCAGCAGGCTGACTGGTTGGCCAACCTAAAGGAGAGCAAGGCTGTTGTGTCTCGGCTGGTTGAGACGCAGGAGGATGGCTTTGCTGCGTTCGAGTTCAACGAAGACGAGACGGATTTTGCACCTCAGGTAAGACGAGACTGGATTAGGGGGGGGGGGGGGGGGGGTTGTACTGCCAATGAAACTACCGTTGCGGACATTGAAATCCGTTGAGCAGTCAAGTGGCCACGGGGGGGGGGGGGGGGGGCTGGCCATGGAGCCGCGAGCAATGCGATGCTACAGTGCGTGTACGCGCTAAGCAAGTAAGGGTGCTGGCCCCTGCCATCCCACCGGATTTCAATGTAAGGGTGCTGGCCCCTGCCATCCCACCGCGCTAAGCAAGTAAGGGTGCTGGCCCCTGCCATCCCACCACGCTAAGCAAGTAAGGGTGCTGGCCCCTGCCATCCCACCGCGCTAAGCAAGTAAGGGTGCTGGCCCCTGCCATCCCACCGCGCTAAGCAAGTAAGGGTGCTGGCCCCTGCCATCCCACCGCGCTAAGCAAGTAAGGGTGCTGGCCCCTGCCATCCCACCGCGCTAAGTAAGTAAGGGTGCTGGCCCCTGCCATCTCACCGGATTTCAATGTCCAGAACAGTACCTAAGTAGGTATGGTCAGAAGTCCTGAGTTTCAGGCGCGTCAGGGTTGGCCCCCGGAACTTTGATTCACTTTGCGTACAACTGTACTATGCATGTATCAGATACCTACAGTTCAATGTACGATACAGCGCCGTTAATTTAAGTTTGTTGTGCACTCGCCGTGTGTGTGTGTGTGTGTGTGTGTGTGTGTGTGCTAGATTAACTCTTGTGTAATCATGGTGCTAGTGAAGCTTGTATCAGATCCACTCTGATTTAGCCACACGCACTAGTAGCAAGTATTACCTTCACTGGGGGCAGGGGTAACTGCAGTTGGATCCCGGGACGGATACCCTGATGCCGTCAATCCTTTTTCTGCACCTTGTCCTCACCCACTTACTGAGGTGTGGTGAGCCCATAAGTGGGATCATTTTCAAGTCCACCCAGAGTTTTGGGGATTTCAGGGGGTGTCGGCCGTTGGGCGGTTCAATAGCCAATTGAGTCATCTTTCCAAGATTCCTTTTGAGTCTCTCTCCCCTCTCCCGGGGAGACCCACGTGACCAGTTTTGGCAGTGAGCAACAAGTACAAGTGTGTTTACAGTAAAACCTGTGACTACCGACCACCCCTTGGTGCCAGCAAAAGCGGTCTTTAGTAGCAGGTGGTCTTTAGTTAGAGGTTTGCACTGCGTGACCATAATGGATCCCATAATATGATATGTATGTCAAAACGCAGCTAATTCAATTCCCCAGGACTTGCCCAATACCATTCTTATTTCAGGTCAAACAACACTTGGAGAGAAAGGCGGAGAGATGGAGAGAGACACAGAGAGAGAGAAGATTAATTTTTGCAGACATCAAATTCAGCTGCTACTTCTGAAGCCAGGAGTCAAACGTTCTCTGTGGAAGTTTCGTTTTGTGCTGGGCTTCGAATTTGTTCATGCGATCAATCGTACCGACTGTCCTTGTTGTGACTGCTCGATTGCTTCAACGCGATCCTTCACGCATCAAGACCTTGCGGTGCTGCTTTGTTTCTGGATTCATTGATGCCATCGTCGATTCGTCTGAATGACTGAGGTGAAAGAGCCGCTCAGTATTTGTTTCTCCTCCGAGTAGTAACATCGATCAGAGAGCACTTCCAATGCGCTCTCCAAGACGTTTCCTTTCATGTTTATTCTTGACAGCGCTTGAAATTTTGACAGGTGTAGTGCAGTCCACACCGACTCCACAGTCAAAATGACCTGCGTTCATTTGTTCAGCTGTAGTATCGAAAGATTCCTTTCAGGACAATGGAAAATCAGCAAAATTTCAAGAAGGAGCTTCGAGCAACATTTGATTTCCTACATCATGGTCGCTAGTTACGGGTCAAAAATCGTCTTTGGGGCAAGAAAAGGCGGTCGCTGGTCGCGTTCAGCAGGTAGTCGCTAGTCACAGTGCATTTTGAATGTGAGACCGTCCGTGCCTGGCGAAGTGGTCGGTAGTACCAGGCTGGTCGCTAGTCACGGTGGTCTTTAGTTACAGGTTTTACTGTACATGCGTGCATCCGTACGTGTGTATGTGCGTATGTGTTCAGATCATGGACCCTGCTGAGGCGATGATAGAGTATGGCATCACGGGTGAGGTTCGCTCAGCGCAACCAGACATGGCGACGCCACCACCAGTGCCTCAGATGCAAGAGCGGCACTTCTTTCGCTCATCCAAGTCGTCTGCTGGTCTGCTAGCCCATGTGCAGGAAAGCAGGAAAGGAACGGCTTCCGGCCGTCGCTCCTCCATACCTGCCCTCAGTACGCTACGTAAGTACCTACCCTCTTGTATGTGTGTGTGTGTGTGTGTGTGTGTGTGTGTGTGTGTGTACGACTGTACGTGCACGTGTGTGTGTGCATGTGTATGTGTGTGTATGTGTGTGTGTGCATGTGTGTGTGTGTGTGTGTGTGTGTGTGTGTGTGTGTGTGTGTGTGTGTGTGTGTGTGTGTGTGTGTGTGTGTGTGTGTGTGTGTGTGTGTGTACATACTGGGACACTGATTTACCCGCACACATGCTGTGCCTGTGACCGTGACATATATTTCTTTCCAGTGTGAGGAGATGTGGCGTGTTTGTCCTGTTTTACCTCCACACGTGCTGCACTGTATTGTCCACCGAGAGGAGACTCCCAACGTTGAGAAGATGGGACTTCTACAATTTGTAAGCTCTTTCAGGCATGTCCATTGCACCCTTTTGTCTGGTGTAATGCGGACGTTACTTTACTATCAGTTTAGCATACTCCAATAGAAGAGCCTTCTTTGCTGTGCTGTGTTTTGTGGTGATTTAGGTACCCCAGTCGTACACGAGAACACCATATCTCTAGGCAGTAGTCCGGGCGATGTTGGGGGCCCGTTTGGAAGGTCTGCATCCTTGGTTGATGGGGAGGGTTTCTCCCCGGTGACCGCCAATGCTGCGCCGTCGAAAATCGTGGCGAATAAGCCTGCTTCGTCCGGTAAGGCTGCTCCTACGTTTGTGTTCATGTTATGTGGACTAAGTGTTTGCCACCTACCTCCTATAGGGAGTCTACTAGTGACGCAACACTTTTGTGCTACAACTCAAGACAGGAACAAGGTTCTGCCTCCTTACAATCAACACCCTCAATGCTGTTCAACTACGGTCCATTCGCCAAACCTGGGCCCATAGGTTTTGCACAGTCTCACTTCACTCTTATTCAGGACCGTGAAGTCGATGACTTATATAGGTACGTTCGGGCCTGGTTTAAATCTGGCTTTGAAAAATTCGTTTTTCATTGCTATCAGGTTTGGCCTCGTTGTCTCTGTGCTGGGCTGATGAGTCCACAAAGGACGAAACAG